TGATAGTTACTCCATCTGTTTGGAAATATAGGATTTTTAAGGTTTTTGTTTGTTTATTAATATAAGATGTTTTCACTTTTCAATACAGCATTAATTAATTTTTTAGTCTTTTTGACTCTTTAAATTATGCAGATTTCAAAGACCGAAAGATAAATGATACGATAGAAAAATGAAAGCATGCATTGTTTGCTTTAAGATGATTTCTCCTTTTTTAAGTTGTAAAAGCAAGTATTAATTCTTTTGTTCAACTCAATGATTTGTAACAACGGCTTTTTGTTGTTTGAATATATCTTACATTCAAATTAAAAATAAAGATTTTCAAATTTTTATAAAATGTCATTTGTATCAAATAATTTTCTTTGTTTGGGCCATAAAAAACTAGAAAAAAATTGCTTTGTCAAATTACTTTCTACATGCCTGGTTCCTTTCTTCTGTATGTACTGTTTCGATTTTGTCATTTGTATAACAAATAAATTGGAATTGAAAACCTTAAAAAAACAAGGAACTATAAATTTATTTATTTATTTATTTGCTAAAAACTATCAAAATTAGAAGCCTATGGAGTGATGATATGCTCAGAGCCGTGCCAACATTGACGGATGCCCGAAGCGATTAAAAGAAGAAGATGCCTCACTTCTTAAAAAAAAACATCATATATAATAACAAATATTATCGTCATATAGAAAACAAGACATATAAAGAATTAAAAACTAGCAAACAAAACATTAGTTACAAAACTTAATTTCTTTTCCTTTTTGTTCAACAAAATTATTATTCAAATTTTCAAAATCAAAGTTTTTAACTAAATTGTTTTGATGGATAAAATAATTATTTTGTTTATGTGATATATTCGAATAAAAATAAAATAATTAAGTTACTTAATCTAAGAAACTAATTCTATGTTTATTTTACTTTAATTATTTAATAATTCAGAATTGTTTTTATATTTTTTAGTTACTTAACTATTAAAAACCCATAATTTTTATCATGTAGACCCATGTTTTGTTTAATTTAATTATCAAAAAGTTTTTAACGTTTAAGTCTATGGTTTCATAATTTTATTATTTGAGTTTAACTAAATGAAACAAATAAAAATATGCTCTTTAAACTTTTCCAACTAAAAAGATGCCCTAAGCTAAAGTTTTATTTTTCATCACTATGTCACGGCTCTGGATATGGTCATTGGTAAATCTTTAAAAAACAAGGAACTATATGATATTTTGTGTCTAGGTAATGTAGTACTCAAATCTAAGGAAAAAACTATGTTCATTTGTGTCTTAGGCTCTCAAATCTAAAGAAAAACACTATGTTCATTCGTGTCTTAGGCACATGCATGAATGTTTTCATGACAAGTTTGTTTGGACATACAACATAATCTCGACTAATGTCCAAACTAATCTAGAAATTGCAAAGTTCAGCACGGATTTTATCCTAAGTGAGAGTATCCTGAAGCTCTTTGGAGACAACAATTTGTTTGTACAGAGTAAGATCTTGTACAAACGTGGTCACCTCACAGTTTGACGTTACAGGGAAATAAAATTTAATATGATTTTTTTTAAAATGAATGTTAAATTTATTCATACTAAAAAAATTTACAAGCACTAGTGTAACTTAAGTTTGAAAACAAAGTTCCGTATCAAAACATATAGAAGGAGAAAGGCCTAAACTTTTGTTAAAAGTTTTTTGACTTATTTTCATTATATTTGATGCGTATATTTGAAAACCATATATCAAAATTAGGTGTAAGCATTCA